CAGAAATGCAAAATCTGGAGAGGATAAATTCGATGAATGGGACTTTCTAAAGATTAAATTTGTACTCATCAAAAACTTTTCCTAACAGGGTGCAGAGAAAACCTACTGACAGTGGAAAAAACATTTTGCAATAACACCTCAGACAAGTGTCTCATAATAAAATTTTACAGAATACTCCTGGGCCTCCAGATGAAAAAGACTGATAACCGAACTACAAAATGGGCAAAACAAATGGAAATATTCACAGAGAAGACATCTGGATGGACAAGAGACAATGAAGAAATGCTCAAGAAAATTACTGGCAATAAAAGAGATACAAATAAAAACCACAATGAGATACCATCTCACCCCAGTGGCAGTGGCAAAGTTTAAAAGGGCAGCAAGCAATAAATGTTGGAAAAGATGTGAAGAGGTGGAAACTCATACATTGTTGGGTGTGATTGTAAAAATGATACAACTACTATGGAAGGCAGTTTGGTGATTTCTTAAATTTTGACACAGAAACTCCGTTAAGACCCTGCTATTCTACTACCAGGAATATACCCAAAGGAAATTAGAACTGGGACACAAACGGAGATTTGTATACCAATTTTCATAACAGTGTTATTCACCAACAAAGGAACATGGAAAAAGCCCATGTTCATTGTGGTACATTCACACACTGGAATACTATGAAGCACCCAGGAAAAACAATTCCTAACAATACTACATACCTGGGGAGAGACTGAAGAGCATTATGCTGAGTTAACTAACTCACTCTTATAAGGACAAATACTATTTCCATGTCTGTGGAGGAAACTGCCATCCTGGTGAGCATAACTAGCAAAATATGTATGAAGACCCAAAGGGAAGAAAGGGTGGAAACAGAGGGGGGAGGATGGGTCTGAACAAAACCAACCAGTTGCACAATTTGGTGGGTAGAGGGAGGGAGTAAAAGAAATGGGAAAGAGCTGGGGGGACTTGAAAAGACAGGGTAATGATGGGCATAATCCTATGGTGATTAATTTTATAAAACATGATGCATGGGAATGATTGTATGAAACACAATGTAAATGAATAGTGTGAAATATGATGTATACAAACCTTATAAGCAAAGCTATTTAAAAAAAAAACGGGGAAGAATACAAAGCATCTATTTCATGGCAATAAATCTACATTTAAAATTAGTAACTTACTTTTTCACTCTGTAACGCTATAGGATCTACTTTCAGAACTCTGCTAATCTTCTTAAAAAGGGGGAAAAAAACCAAACCAACCCAAAAATCTTCTCAAATCTGATACTTACTACATTAGCATGTGTATTAGCATGTGTAAGGTGCTCTGGTTAAACCATTAAGCTGGCAACCAAAAGGTTCTCAGTTCAAAGCTATTGTGGGAGAAACATTAGGTACTCTTCATACATAAAGCTTTGTAGTCTTGAAAATCCTACCTGGCAGTCATACTGTGTCCTACAGATTGCTATGCATTAGAATTAAGCTAGAGGCAGTGGATTTATTAGCCTGTATTTACATAGCTATTACTTCATAAATCATATGAAAATTACAAGGATCACCTAAATTTCTTTTATGAAAATTCACTGCTATGTCTCTACCGCCCTCTACAGGGATATCATTACGAAGACTCAAAATAGTAGTATTAAAAAGTCGACAATTTTACACATCAACCTCTCCTGATGGCCTGCGCAAAAATCACATTGACTACATTTGTGGAAATAATTGTTGGAAAGTCAATACCAGGCCAGTTGTTAACTGTGGAAGAAATCATCAATTACCAGTCCTTAGAGAAGGACAACATGCTCAGAAGGGCGGAGGGACAGTGCAAAAGGGCAAGACCCCGAATAAGATGAAATGACACAGTAAATGGGGTAATGGGCATAGGTATGTTGGAGACAGTGAGACTGGTTCACGATACGGCAGGCTTTAGAGCTGTTGTACATAGGGTCGCTATGAGTCGAAGGTAACTTGACGACAAATAAGTTTAAACTGAAACTGAAGAAGAAAAAAAATCCAGAAGAACAAAATATGATCTTGGATTTATTCCAACTGAATTTAAAAGCTATCTCAGGAACAGGTTTGAGAAGAGCCTCCCGAGAAGACAAAACGAAGTACTATAACTTTATGCACAAAGAGCCACAGTTAAGGGGATTGTGGAAGGAATGGGGGTGGAAGCAGAGGAACTCACTTGGCATTTCTCAAGCTGAAAAAAAACCAAAAACCAAATTCAAGCCTCAAGTTGCAATTTTGAAGAGTACTATGGACAGAATTCTGAATGATCCAGAAAGCATCAAAAGAAGATGGAAGGTACACCCACAAAAACTTTAAGAAGAAAAAAAAAAGAAGATGAAAGGAACACACCAAGTCACTGTAGAAAAGAATTATTTAACACAAAATTTCAGGAAGTAGCTCATGATCAAGAATCAATGGTGATTTCAAGGATGAAGTTCAAGCTTCACTGAACATATTAGCTCAAAATAAGGCCAGGAATTGATAGAATAACAACTGACATGTTTCAGCAAACAGATGCAGCCCTAGAAGTGTTCAGCAGGCCATGTTGAGAAATTTGGAAGGGTTTCCTGGAGATACATTTGTTTTCCTTCCCAAAAAGGGTGCTACAAAAGAATGTGGAAATTTTAGAACATCATTAACATCATCACAGGCAAGCAAAAATCTTACTTAAGATTATATAAAAAAACAGAGAGGTACGTATACAGAGAACTGCTAGAAATTCAAACTGGATTTAGAAGAGGCCATGGCAATAGATATCATTGTTGACATCAGGTGGATCTTAGCTGAAAGCAGAGAGTACTAAAAGGATGTCTACTCATGATTTAACAACTAAACAAAGGCACTTGATTATGTGAATCATAACAAATTGTAGGTAACATTTAGAAGAATGAGAATACGAAAGTATCAGAACACTTAAGAATACACATGTGAAACCTATACCTAGATCAAGAGGCTGTTGTGCAAACAGAGCAAAAGAAAAAAAGACGTGCGTCAAGGCTTAATCCTTTCTCCATACCTGTTCAATCTCTATGCTCAGCAAATCATTCAAGAAGGTGGACTCTATAAGGAAGAATGTGGCACTGGGATTAAAGGCTCAATTAACAACCTGCATTATGCAGATTACACAACCTTGCTTGCTGAAAGTGAGGAAGTCTTGAAACGCTTGCTGCAGAAGAGCAGGGACTGAAGCCTTCAGTATGGATTACATCTCAACATCAAGAAAACAAAATTCTCACCCCTGGGCTACTAGGCAACATCAGGATAGATGGAGAAAATAGAAATTGTCAATGATTTCATCTTACTTGGATCCACAATCAACAACTTTTGTACCAATAATTAGGAAATCAAAACACATGTACTGGGAAAGTCTGCAGTCAGGGTCTTCTCCAATTTTAATAAAAATTAATTAATAGACTTATTTTTTTTCCTACTGTTTTAGATTTGTAGAACAGTGAGTTTTACATACCCACCTCTTTGGCCTCCTCCAATCTTGGCACACAGTTTCCCTTACTATTAACAGTGTATTAGTTGTGGTGCATCTCTTAAGATAAATGAACCACTGCTATGCATGATTATTATTAACTAAATACTCCTTGTATATTTTAATTCAGTTGATTCTGACAGAGGAGTAATGGTATGCATTCATGATTAGAGCATTATACAGAATAGTGGCATCACCCTGAAAGTCTCCTGTGCATTATCTACTTACTCCTCTCTCCATTTTTCCAGGCACTGACACAACTGCTTATTGTTTCTAAAGATTTGATTTTTCTAACAGGTTACAGTTGTGATTATACAGTAATGTACCCTTTTCAGACTGTCTTCTTTAACATAACAATATGCCGTTTTGTTCCTTTCATATCTTTCCATGGCTTGGAAATTTATTTTTCACTGAATAATTAATGGGAGAGCCACATTTTTTTTTATCAAGTTACCTCTTGAAGAACATCTTAGTTGCTTCCAGGTTTTAATGATAATGTTGGTTATGATTAATGATAAGCACTTATGTGCAATTTTTTGTGTCTATATATTTTTAATTAAAATTTAAAAATAACTCATAACACATTTTATGATTATTATAATACCCACAATGTAACCACATCCTTCCCACTTCTTCCCTGTGACTCTTATTCCCTTTATCCTGTCCATCTTTCTAAGTTTTATCCCTGGATCCCTGGACAGCTGCTGCTCTTTTAATCTTGCATGTTTGATTATCTAAGCATTTCTCTGCCTGCTGTAAATGTTCACTTTATAGGCTAAAAACTAAGCCACAAGGGTTAGTTCTATTCTAAACTCAAAAGATTGGGATTCTGAAGAAGATGACAGTACTGTGGAATATGCCTAAGGGCCATATTTTCTAGAGTTCCATCAATCTGTGCCAGACCACATTTGACCAGTTTTATAAATTTTAATTATGTTCCACATTTACCTCACCTTTTATGCAGAAGACACTAATGTGAACCCTTGGAAAGCTAATTTAAATGACACTGAGCTGATGATCCCCTTAAGAAATCCTAGTGGCAAAGTACATAACATACAGGGCTACTAATCAAAAGGTGGCCAGTACAAATCTACAAGGTATTTTACAAGGAAATGATGGGTAGTATCCACCTATTAAGAGTCCCAGTCTCAAACAACATGGAGCTTGCACTGAGTCAGAAGTGACTCGGTGGCAATGGGTAACTTACCATAATTATGGTATGTCTGTCCTAGGAGAATAGAAGGACAAGCTAGACTCCAAGTGTAATGAAGTATGGGGAGGAGATGGGTAGAAGATATAGATGCACTTATTCATGTTTGGAAGAACAACATAAGCATGCTATTTAGAGAAAAGGAGGCACATAATAATTTACACTAAAAAGGTAAAAAAACAGTTGTCTCCTCAGAATTTTAAGTAATACAGAAAATTAACACCAAAAGGCTAGATGATTATTATAAATGACATTAAAAACCAAATTTTCTTCAACATTCATTCTTACCTTGGGATAATTAGAAAGTCTCTGTTCACTTTTCAATGGGCTGCTACTTGCACAAGAAGCACAGTCAGATATATCCAAAGGACTCTCACCTTCTTCAAATTCATGATGTTCATTGTTATTGCCTATGTCCCAGTCAATAAACTGCAGCTCATCTGAGGAAAAAAATCCACATAATCCTAACTTGCACTTAGCTTAATTTTTCTTTATAATATTTTTTAAGTTTGAGTTTTTAATATACAGATATCATTTATTATTGTGTTGTTGTTGTTGTTGTTGTTGTTGCTGGGCGCCATCAAGTCGAGTACAACTCAAAGCAATCCTATAAACAAAAGATCTGAACCTAGTCCTATCCTGTACCATCTTCATACTTCCTGACACACAAGAACCCATTGCTCAGTCTACCTGGTTGAGGGTCTTCCCCTCCTTCGTCAACCCGCTCCAAGGAATAGCACCTCCTAGCAATATGTCCAAAGTATGTGAGACGAAGTCTCGTCATTTTTTCCTCCAAAGGACACTCTAGCCATACCCTCTCCAAGACATATCCATTTGTTCTCTTGGCCACCATGTTCTTCTTCAACACCACAGCTCAAAGGCGTCAATTTTTTTTCATCACCCTTATTCACTGTCCAGGTCTCAGATAAATAGCTAATAATCATTAAGACTATGGCCCAAATCAGATGAACCTTAATCTCAAACTGACATCAATACTCATCAATAATCTGTAAAGTTCCTTAACTGCAGATTTTCCTACTGCAGTGCATCTCCTTATTTCCTGACTTCTCATACCAAGGGTGTTAATTTAATAGAATTATTACAAGTATATAAAAAAGTATACAGAGAAAAGTATTTCTAGTTATCTTTCTCAATAGAATTGTGTATAATAAATAATTTTCATTGCAAATTTTTTCCTTTCTTTTTTTTTAATAATTTTAATGAACATTTACAGA